ATCAGTCATGAGGAAGCACCAAGGGACTAGCAATTGGAAAGCGCTTCATTTAGAAAGAACCGGAGGGAGAATAACAAGGAACAATAGCTGGAGCACAGAGAACACAGTGAAAGGAATGAGAATTAATGATTTTTTAAGGAAGGCAATAATTTCTTTATGATTTGAACTCTGCAACGTACAAACCTACAGGCACCCGAACGGTACCTGCGTGTCAAGACCTGACATTCCTATTAGCAAGGTGCCCAAAGGCAAACACAGTTTTTAGCAGGCCAATATTTTTTTGGGGGGGTGGGGGGACGGGGGAGGCAGGCAGGGAGGGAACACACCTTGTCTAGAGGGAAAGTTTAGGAATGATGCATTTGAAAAGAGCAGCAGAGTGCAGGCAGGAACAGGAGCCAAGGCCGTTTAAAGAAAAATAGAACAAAGGAACAAAGGGGTAAGGAGACAAATATCAGGGGACCAAAGTGTTTCTCTGGTGTTCAAGAAACAAGATAAATATTTTGCAGACATAAAGAGCTGAGGGCAAGTGAGCAATTTTAAATAAAACAGATCAATGAAACAATGAAATAAGGAGCAGATAAAACAAGGATCCAACAAAATCGAGACAGAGGTTTTTTTTTTTTTTAAAAAAAAACGGTCAACGTAAGCAGATAGTCCAATAAACCAGCCCTGTCAATCATTTGTCAAGGGTGGGGAGCGAAGCTTATAATACAAAGCCAGCCAGATGTGTTGAACTACAATAACCATAATCCACAACCGGCAAAGTTAACAGGTGTGGAAGTGATAGTCCGATATATTTGAATAGCGTCTGATTGGAAACCCTGTCATCAAGTCCTAATTCCAATAGTTTCCTGAGACTTACCACTAAAATCAAGAGAACATCCATCTGCTGTGACCATCCAAACCGAAGAAACTGAACTAAACTGGCTGCTTCTGTTCTACAATTTAATATCCAACTTTTCTTTGGATACATTTATCCAGAAAAATGGGTGCTCCTTCATCCATAGGAGGTGATTTTATACAGCTGAAAAATGTACAAAAGCATATATATTCCCCGCTAGCATCGTTATCTTAATGAGACGGATGGAGCTGATCAGAATAATAATAACCTAGTACCTGGCAGACTATGCAATGAAACAATAACACTAATAACAGAGAAGGAAACAATAGATAGCAAATGACACCTCTGCAAAGAAAAATAAGAAAAAAAGCAGATCACCTAGTTGCAAAAGGATCACACAAACTGATGCTTGGAGAACACTTGTATATTCTAATGCTGAAGCATCTGTACAGGCAGTCTTTGACCACAATTAAGAACAGAATTTCTGTTGTTAAATGAGGCAATTGTTAAGTAATTTGCACCCAATTTAATGGCCTTCCTCGCCACAGTTGTTAAGTGTATCACTGCAGTTGTTAAGTGAATCGTGTGGTCATTAAATGAATCCAACTCCCCCTTATTGACTTTGCTTGCCAGAAGCTGGTTAGGAAGTTCGCAAACGGTGATGACATAACACTGGGATGCTACAACTGTTGCAAATACATGCCAGTTGCCAAGCATCCAAATTTTGATCATCTGACTGTGAGGACGCTGCTAAGTGAGGGGATCAGTTGTAAGTCGCTTTTTTCAGTGCCATTATAACTTTTTTTTTTTGCTCGTTTGAACTGTTGAGATTTTAGAATGAAACCAGCAGATGAGAAGCTACGGTAAACTAGATCGAGGAGATGAGACTTATAGCTAATACATCTTCAGAAGGAACAGCAGAATTGTCGCAGTTTCACACTTTACATTTTTAGGGTACATTTTTGGATTTAGAAAAACAATACAGGTAGCCCTTGACATTCAACAGTTCCTTTAGTGACCGTTTTAAGTTACGATGACACTGAAAAAAGTGACTTATGACCAATTTTCACACTTACAATCCCATGGTCACGCGATCAAAATTCAGACGCTTTGGCAACTGACTCCTATTTATGACGGTTGCAGTGTCCCATGGTCACGCGATCAAAATTCAGACACTTTGGCAACTGACTCCTATTTATGACGGTTGCAGTGTCCCATGGTCATGTGATCTCCTTTTGCGACCTTCAGACAAGCAAAATCAATGGGGAAGTCAGATTCACTTAACAACAGTGTTATTAATTTAATAACTGCAGTGATTCCCTCAGCAACTGTGGCAAGAAAGATCGCAAAAGGGGGCAAAACCCACTGAACGAATGTCTCACTTAGCAACAGAAATTTTGGGTTCAGTTGTGGTCGTAAGCCGAGGACTACTGATATACAGCGGTATGTACTAAAAATTGTCTGTCAAAAGTTTTTTTTTTCTTTTACCTTGGGATCTGCAGTGAGCAATTTGAATGCTTGATACACTTGTGCTTCTTTCACACCTCCGCCAAGATCCAGGAAGTTGGCAGGTTTCCCACCATTAAGGGAAATTATATCACAGGTTGCCATTGCAAGTCCAGCGCCATTTACTGTAATTAAAGAGAATTAAATTGCTGATTTTTTTTTACAAGATGAAATATGAACATATGCAAATGTAGTTCCAAGGTGCCAAAAACAAAAGAGAGAGAGAGAAGATAAAAGAAAAAGAACAGAAGAAGAGAAAGGAACAGATGGAGAAAAATTTAAACCTATGAAAAATTGGACATTTGCTTCCAGGTCCTATGACTCTTATTCAAGGTGTCTCAATTTACTGAGTTATTTAAAAAAAGGGGGGAGGGGGCACAGAAACACTGAATAATAAACTACAGCATAAACAAGCAAAACACCAAATATAGGTAGTCCTCGACCCACAACAGCTTATTTGGTGACCGTTCAAAGTAACAATGGCACTGAAAATAGTGACTTATGACCATCACAGCATCACCATGGTCAGGTGATTTACATATATTTTTATTAATTTTTATAGTCACAATTCTTAATATTTTATCAGCAACATATTGTCTGGGTTCCAAAATTTAACTTACTAATACATGTTAAATTCCTTTCTCTCTACCTCATTTTTCTAGCCATTGATAAAAAGTATCCCAAGTTCTAAAGCAGGGGTGTGAAACTGCTGGCCCACGGGCCGGATGCGTCATGCTGAAACTGCGCCGGCAATGGAAAAAAGTTGTGATACGTCTTGACACGTCATGTGACATTGCGAGTTTGACACCCCTGTTTTAAAGTATACTGAGTCTTCTTTCTCTTTCATTTTCAATGTCAAACCGTCCATTTCTGCACAATCTAGAATTTTTTTGATTAACTCTTCCTCCGTTGGTAATTCTGCATTTTTCCAATGTTGAGCGAATACAATTCTTGCTGCAGTTAATACATGTAATATCAAATATATACATTCTTTCTCATAATTTCCTACAATTATACCTAACAAAAATAATTCTGGCTTAAAATCTGTATGTTTTTTAATAATTTTCTCTAAATATATATGGTTAGAGAAAATTATATATATTCTTGACCAAAATCTTTTGGCTTTAGGGCATGTCCACCAAAGATGATAGTATGTGCCTGGTTTTTGTCTACATTTCCAACAGTTGCTGGACGTATTTTTAAACAGGTGATTTACATTCGGTTGCTTGACAACTGACTTATATTTATGACAGTTGCCATGTCCTGGAGTCATGTGATCCTCTCTTACGACCTCCTGACAGGCAAATTCAACTGGGAAAGTCAGATTCACTTAACAACCATGTTGCTAATTTAACAACTGCAGTGATTCACTTAACAGATGTGGAAAGAAAAGTAGTAAAATGGGGCAAAACTCACTTAACAAATTTGTCACTTAGCAACACAAATTTTGAGCTCAATTGTGATTGTAAGTTGAGGACTACCTTTACTACCAATGTATACTTCAATACTGAAAATGGGCATTGCTTATGTCTAGCAATGAGAAAAAGACTTGTTATTCTTCTGCTCCTTCTTATAGTCACCATCTAACTTAATGTATGACTCAGAAATAGCAGAAGTGGGGAATAAAAAAAAACCCAATCAGTTCCCCTTTTTCTTGTATATTAATAAAGGTTTCAATACTGAAACAAACTGAACTGAAGCCATTTTCACTTCATTTTCAGTTGCCACATATTTAGTAAAGAAGGAGGGAAGGGGTGAAGTTCTGGGTTAGCCAAAACAATTCTCATGTATGGGAACCAAGGTCATCACTGATAACATTTTGGTGGGCTGGAGAGCTGGGAGGAGTGCCTGCATTTTCTAACAATTGGTGAATGTGATTTATGACAATTAATTGGAGTGGGAATTGCAACTCTGTAACCAAGGGGAGGGAAATTTAGTGTTGGGTTCACCTTTGTTATATACCGTTATTTTGTAGCCAAATAAAAATGTTCTTTGAGGAAGAATTGCTTGCCTTGAAGTTCTTTTAACTGATCTCATCTACCGGAACCATGACAAAAGGGCTAGGGAGGGCTGGTGGGTGACCAGGTAGTGGGAAGCTGTTGGAGTCTCTGGAAAAGTGATGGAGAACAGGAGGGAGGCTGAGCACCTAGGAAGGTGAGGGTGCTATATAGGCTGGAGTACATTTTACTGAATCTAACTCCTCCTCCCCCTTTTCTTGCATTCAATACAGCAGAGGAATAAAAGAGTAGCAACAAAAACCAATTATAAAATCAGAAGAAACTCCGTATTTCACGTCTTCATTTTATTCCTTCAGTTACCCAGATCCTTCAGTCAGTTTTGCAGTTTTATGGGCCGTGCCTAATTTCATTAACATTGCACAAAACTATGTTAAATCAATAAATTCTTTCTAATAATATTTTGTAAAACGTTATCCTTATAACAAATTCCAACTACAGTAGTTAGAGTTTTACCAAGACTAGAAAATGTCTTAATTTTTCCTTTTAAAAACTGCTGGGTTCTCTATACCAGAGTTTTCCCAATATTTTCGGCTTTGCGGATCGGTTGTGGGGGGGGGAGGAGAGAGTATGGTTCCGTGCGAACAGTGAGCAAATGTGCATGTGCGCACAGCTCTATTTGTGTGAGCAGCGGGCATGTGCATTCGCTGCTCGCACAAATGGAGCCCATGCATATGAGAGCTTGCGCTTCCGTGGAACAGTTCTGAACTGCTCAAGTGCACTGTGGCCCGGGGATTGTAGACCCCCTGCTCTACAGTATACATTAAGGGTTCTTCCAGTTGCAAAAATGATTAGCTCATGAATGAAATAGAAGAAAATGGCTTAGTCCATTAAAATGTCAACTTCTTTTCATAGCTAAACTTTCTGGTGAGAGACAGATACATTTCAACCAGGATTTTGGACGTGGTGGTCCAAACAGCTGCTTCTAACCCTATGGAATCTGTGAACTTGGAATGCATGATATATACCATCTAATATGTATTACACATTTATTTGTTTTATAAACATGAACAAAACATAATCAAATTTGTAATGAAACATATAAGAAAATCAACAGAGAGATAATTTTGCCAAAATCCAAATGACAAAGTAGGAAAATTCCACTGGGATAAAGGAATTATGAACTCCCGACTTAAAATGCAATCCTGGGATTCCAACTAAAGGATAAACATGCTGTGAAAGATGTGCCATTTTTGTTGTTGTTTACAATAAAAATACCACATAAGCTCACATTAGGATCTGGATTACATAAACATATATACACACAACTCAGCTTCCATTCATGGGAAGCTAAAAACAGAATTGGGAAAATATTGTATGAGAGAAAAAAGTGTAATTTCATTCCTAGTATCATTCTATGACAAAATGAAAATAGACACATGTGATTGTTTTGAAGATAGAAATGATGTGGAAAATTCTAAAGTTGTTTGTATGTAGTATCAGAAACTGAAGTAGTTCTTCTGCAGGAAATTCCAGAGCAGTCTGCTGCCATGAGGATCCAATATATAAATAATCAGAAATATCCCACTTACGAAGTTCTGTGAGTCTCAGCCATCAGTGATAATGCATTCTTTTATAGCTTCAGATTATAGTTCATGAGTAATACAGAAACTTAAATTCTGTATCATTTTATCTAAATGGTTGCTTAATGTAAAAAAAAAAGTAATATCAATATTTTTTACCCTGGAAAGCAATCTCTTTCAGAAAAAGAATTATGTGAATAAAGATTTGAACTTATAAATAACTTCTGTATTGATTGCCTTGGTATTATTATACAAAAGAAAAATAGAAGCTTTCTGAAAACAGCCAAACCATTCTGAAAAAATTGCTGGATACTCTTTTTCTATATGTTTTTGTTACTTGTTATTTATGTGGATGTTTTGAAATTATGTTCACTATCCAGAGTCACTTTGTAAGACGGGTGGTTATATAAAAGAAATTCAATAAAAAAATACTCTACAAAATATAGATCTTTTCAGATAGCTTATAATGCAGGTAGTCTTCAACTTACCACAGTTCATTTAGTGACTGTTCAAAGTTACAATGGCACTAAAAAAAATGACTTGGACCATTTTTCAGTTGCAACCTTTGAACATCCCCATGATCATGTGATCAAAATTCAGATGCTTGGCAACTGATTCATACTTATGATCGTTGCTGTGTCCCAAGGTCATGTGATCTCCTTTTGCAGCCTTCTGACAAGCAAAGTGAATGGGGAAGCGAGATTCACTTAACAACCAAGTTACTAACTTATCAACTGTAGTGATTCACTTTACAACTATGGCAAGAAAAGTCGTGAAATAGGACAAGACTCACTTAACAAATGTCTCACTTAACAACAGAAATTTTGGGCTCAGTTGTGGTCGTATAAGGATAGGTTCAAACCCTGGGTTCATACCGTGTTAGCATACAGGTGTGTATCTCTAGCTCATGAAATTTAATGAACCAATTAGAGAGCTAATTTGAGCTAACAGTTAAGGTGCTGCCTAGAAACCAGGAGATTATAAATTCTAGTCCTGCTTTAGACATGAAAGCCAGTTGGGCGACTTTGGGCCCGTCACTCTTTCTGTCAGCCCAACCCACTTCACAGGGTTATTGTGTGGGAACAACCCGAAGAAGGAAGAAGGAGAATTATGTAGCTTCAATGCCTTCAGCTATTTATAAAAATAATAAAAGGTGGGATTAAGGAAGGAAGGAAGGAAGGAAGGAAGGAAGGAAGGAAGGAAGGAAGGAAGGAAGGAAGGAAGGAAGGAAGGAAGGAAGGAAGGAATTTCACAATGCGATTGCTGATGGTAAATGTGGTGTTCATAGAGCTAATGCACCAGTGGTATTAATCTAAGCGCAGATTAAGGATTAAAAACAGTACTGTAGTTTACAATTCTTTATGCAGCTCTAAGTTCAGTGCTTCCTCAACCCATAATGGATGGAGCTAGGAATCAAACAGGAAATTTAGGCATGACTGTTAACAAGCGCCCTTAGCAGAATTGTTGCTTTCTTTTCATGAAGGTCTTTCTCCCTAGAACAGTGGTTCTCAACCTTTTTAATGCCGCGACCCCAACCAGTCGTAAGTCGAGGACTAAACCCGTCATAAGTCGAGGACTAAACCGGTCGTAAGTCGAGGACTAAACCGGTCGTAAGTCGAGGACTACCCAACCGGTCATAAGTCGAGGACTTTCCCTGCCCGGGAGTGCCGCGCATGCGTGGTTCCGCCCCCTGCGCCGGCCGAGGCGTAGCTGGCAAGCGGCAGAGACGGAGCAGGCCGACCACCAGCTGGCCCAGCCCAAGGGAGGTAAGGCACCCGCCGGAAAAGGGGAAAAAAATGGCGGACAGCCTTGCTTGGCGACCCCCATGAAATGGTCGATCGACCCCAAATGGGGTCCCAACCCAGAGGTTGAGAACCACTGCCCTAGAAAACCAATACTTTTTCATGCTTTGAAAACAACCCTTTACTTCTAAAGTGTTTGTCATTAGTGCCCGTAGAGAAGTTTCATCCAATTCTGTTTAGATGTGTGATGTTAGGCGTACAGTTTTTCAGGCCAGACCAGGAAGCTATAGCAATAGGATGATTTTGCTCACCAAAACAGGCAATGTTTCCATCCAGACCTATATACTTTAAGTCGTAATGGGCAGCTTCATTTTCCATTGCTTCATTCTCAGATTTGTCATCCATGGCAAATATGGTTTTTTGCCTGAACTCAGCATTGTCATCAAAATTTATCTTGGCGTCAAAGCATACCACTAAATGGAAAAGGGAATAAAATGGAAAGGAAAACAGAATTAGAATTTCACCTCAGATTTTAGGGGCTTACAAAAGCAGTTATCAAAAAGCAATTTGTCACAAATCTACTTGGTGTCAAAGGATTTTTTTTTCCTATGATATCTCCAAGTTGCCTTCATTTCAGTCTGAGTATATATAAATAGGATAGGTTCAAGTTGCCCTTAGCTTCACTGAAATTAAAATGATAAATAGATAGATAGATAGATAGATAGATAGATAGATAGATAGATAGATAGATAGATAGATAGATAGATAGATAACCTTTATTGTCATTTTTTACTGTGGGCACAAGGGCACACATTAAAAATGAAATTTAGTTGCTTGCTCTCAAAGTGTACACATACATAACACACATTTAAACATGCTATATACAACATATGTATAGACCTACACCCTTACATATAAGTAACATATAAATATTAATCACTGTCCATCTTGAATACATAACTGAAGGAGGAAGCTTTAGAGTTCACAAGGTTAATACTGTATGGAACAAAACTGTGACTGAATCTGGATGTTCTGCTTTGGATACCACGGATGGGTGCAACATGTATAAAATCTGTTACATCTCACCACCCATTATGTCAGATGTGAAATCAGGGCATCCGTAGAGGATTAGATCTGACCAATGTTCAGGTTGACACAGGGATGTTCCTTCTTTTCCAGTTCTTTCCAATCAGCCCTACCTGCAGATTTTTTGAGATTGTCTGCCTATAGAGAGAATTATAATGGTGCTATACTAGTGGTCAGAACTGTAAATAATGCTAGACTGTTCAACTGGCAGCATTCTCCTTGTAATAAATCTACGTCTACTACAGGTTTAGTGCGAAGCTGAAATAGTGAAACAGTGGAATAGCACAATAGAGAAATGGCTTTTACACTGAAATAACATAATGGCTTTGTCACAAGGGCTTTGTGGATTCACAGGCTCTGATCCATCCCATAGCAAACAAAACATCTTCTGTAATTTTGTTTTAATTAACACAGCAGAGCAAAACAAGTTTCATTTTCGAGCAGTGTTTCATTTCCAGTTCAGTTAAAAAGCCAAATTCCTGTCTCTGGTCCCTCTTGTCTTTCTTATTGATAAAGAGCCAAGAAGCAACAATAAAATCATAGAGCAAAGTAAGCTCAACAGAGACTTGGCAGATGTACGGTTGCCAAGCATTTCTAGGCTTCTTCTTACATCTTTACTAGCAAAGAAAAGATTCCCAGTTTGCGAAAAGTCCACCTTGTTAATGTCTGTAGTCTAATATTGGCCAAATTAGAGAATTACTAGTTCAACATTTTATTCCTCTTTCCTACTTTCAGATAAGTAAGAGAGTTAATTACACTTTTCCCTCTCTGGCAAAATGCTGTAGCCCACTGGCACCAAAAGATTTCCTAATATGAATCCTCAACTGCTTATATGATTCAATCTGAAATGCCTGTGCAGGGAATCTAATTTTAAACAGAATTTAAAAAGCAATATTTTTTTTAAAGTAGCAAATAATAGAAGCACACTACTATGCAATACCCAGATCTTATCAAGAGGGCTAAATGAGTCTAAGCCAGGGGTCTTCACACTTGGCCCTTTTATGACTTGTGGACTTCAACTCCCAGAATTCCTCAGCCAGGCACGCTGGCTGAGGAATTCTGGGAGTTGAAGTCCATAAGTCATAAAAGGGCCAAGTTTGAAGACCCCTGGTCTAAGCAATGCATTATAAGAACAATATAAACAAACAGAAGGGGCTTCATAGGAAGACACTGAAGACAGATGGCAAGATGAAAGAACCACTCATACATGGTACATCGGGGGAGGGGGGAAAGTTTGACATCAAACTAAGTATTACTGCTGATGCCTTCTTCCTCTTTCCTTACTTAATGTTAACTTGGTATTTTTCCACCCAAAAAATTAGCATTGCAGATAGCTAATCCTTCAGAATCCCTATATATGTGCAAAAAGACAGAGCAGAACTTATGTGACATCATCACACAAGGCATCATTTTGACATCACTCTGTGAACTCTGCTGTGGGAGAAAAGCTCCTATGGTATTGGTATAGATAAAACTGGATGCATTCACTTTGCCAACTGCAAAAGTGAGGTGTTCTCTACTCTCAACACTAGGGTTCCAATCCATATTATAATTGCCATCACCCCTTAATGAAAAAGAAGGTATATGCCAGCCATGTCTTTAAATTAGTATAATTTTTCAGGAACCTACAGGATGAAGTCTTTGCATGGAGGAAAATAGCATAGACAATGCATAAACGTTCATGTTTCAGTTTCTAGCCTTATGTCTAGATTGCAGAATTTATTCATTTGTTAGATTTTTTAAAAAAACTCACTACAATCCTGTGACACTTGGCAGTATGGAAAAGAAAAAGTGCCACATACTAGGCTAACTTTTAATTTGTTAATGAACATTTCACTATCTTTGAGAGGTGTGGCCCTCAAAATGTTGAATTAATTGTAGGCTAATGAGCCATTAAAATTCTTCCTCATCCCCAAATTAAAGAATTAATCCTAAATTTATATTAACAGCATAATCTTATCAGCAGCATCCAGTGGCAAGACACTACATAATGATACACATATAATATATCTTCTTTTACTATTCTAACCAACATAATTATTTCTTCTAATATATATCCAGAATGCCATAGGGAGCTTTCAAAGTTGGAAAAGAGTAAGGAGGGGGAGTGATAAAATGTATATATTTTTATCATTAATAATTTGTCCAATAATTCAGCTTAACTTGATTATTTTACATTATAGTCATAAAACAAGTACACTTCATCATGGCCATATTTCAATTTTTTGACTTATTGTATTCTATTACACTAAATTATTTAAATTATTCTCTTCTCATGCACTAAATTATTCTGAAATAATTTTATGCCATTTGTTTTTTTTAAAATAACTTTGTTTCATTCTGCTGTCTAAAAGAACTGTTTCTTAAAATAGCAAGAACATCTTGATTGCTTTATTGAAGATCTGTCTTTTAACATTGTTGTCAAATAAGACAGAATATAATTTTAAAATCCAAAATAGTCTACTTAGTTTACTAAAATGGGTGTTTATTGGCTGTATCCCTTAATTAAAAAACCTGGGCAAATTATGCTATTTGCTCCCCAATTGTGCAAACTACACATTGATCATTGCTGTTTTAAAACAGCACAATTCAGAAAGAAGATTTGTTGCTTAGCCAACCTTCAACAAAACTTCATGGTTGTATCCGTCTATCCACCCTTACACTGTAAAGGTGGCTTTGGAAGGCAGAAATAAATGCTGGTTTCCAAAGAACAAGACTGCACAATCTAAGTAAAAGCATGTACAAGACAAACACTTGAGAGGCTGGGAAAAAATAGAGACAGTCTAAAGCAGGGGTAGGCAACCTTGGCTCTTTTATGACTCGTGGACTTCAACTCCCAGAATTCCTGAGCCAGCCATGCTGAGGGGAAAGGGAGAGGTTTCCAAGCTGAGCCATGCTGGCTCAGGAATTCTGGGAGTTGAAGTCCACAAGTCATAAAAGAGCCAAGGTTGCCCACCCCTGGTCTAAAGTCTTAATTCATGAAAAAAAATAAATTTGGAAGGAAAGTGACAACCAAGCAAAGAACTGTTTTGTTCATGTGGAATGAAAGAAAAGGAGACTTTCTCTAAAGCAGTGCTTCCCAAACCTGAGTAAAATACCCCAAATTGGATAAAAGTAGTTTTTCTTTGGGTAACATCATGCAAACTCATCACCCAATCACAACAGGAACACTTAAATAAGGACTTTCTGATCAGCAGTTTCAAATAATGAATGAAAAGTTTTGGGAAGCTTTGCTCTAAAGACATTGCTCTGCCCCTGGGAGCTCTTCAAGAACCTTTTGCTCGGTGACAGAAAGTGAATAGCCAGGAATTCATAGGGGTCAGTATTAACATTGAAAGAAGAAAAAAAAAGAGGCTTAAGGTGGGAACTGGTAGAGATTCCAGTGGATAGAAGAAAAGGGAAAAAAAAGTGAAGGAAAAAAAGAAGAAAGTTGTTTTAAATGGAAATGAAAGGCCGATAATGGGTGGAGATTTTTCTGACTGATTTGAGTGCCCGAAGTAGGTGGATTGATCTGATACAGATAGTCCTTGAGTTACAACCATTCTGTCAAGCCCTCCAGGCTCGACATGGACGGGTGGAGGGGGGGCAAGGACGGCATGCGGGGTGGAGAGGAAAGCTGGCGGTCGGGACCGACAAGCCTACTTGCTGCTGCGTATGTAAGGCGCTGGGAGGCGGATGCTCCCAGCGCTGACTTTGATAGCAGACTACCAATGTGAACTGCATGCCAGAGATTCCTGAAGTAAAACCAACTGCCACCTGTGAACTTGACGGCTCCGTGTCTTCTTGCCGGGGGTGTGGTGAGGATCTCTGACACATTTATTTAGTGAACATCTGAAGTTACAACGGCAAGTTATGAGTGAAATAAAATGACTTATGATCAGTTTTCGCTTGATGGTCCCCATCGCATCCCCATGGCCACATGATCAAAATTCGGGCCCTTGGCAACTGGCATGCATTTATGACACTTGCACTGTCCCAAGGTCCTATGATCACCATTTGCAGCCTTCCCAGCTGGCTTCTGACAAGCAAAGTCAATGGGAGAAACCAGATTCACTTAATAACGTCATGATTCACTTAACAGCTGTGATGATTTGCTTAACAACTGCGGCAAAAAAGATTGTAAAATGGGACCCAAATCACTTCACAACTTTCTTGCTTAGCAATGGAAATTTTGAGGTCGATTGTGGTCATAAGGTGAAGACTACCTATATCGCCAAATATTAAATTGTTTTTCCAAATACCAGAAAGGATTTCTATTTATTTGTTGTATAATCCCCTCTACCTTATTCCTGAGCAGTTATGGAATAGAATTCTCCAAGCTGTAGGATGGAAGGAATCAAGATTAAATAGAAGACTTGTTCCAGATGAATAGAATGTAATTAGGATGACTTGGGAGACAGAACTCCTCTCAATAGGAAAAAATAAAGCATAGAATGAACTATGCATGCTGAGGTCATCAAGAGATGTGCGAAAGAACTGAGCCCATTGAGATGTCTAAGAATGAGGCTATTGAGATGTCTTCAATGTTCACACCAAGACTTGGGTCACCAGGAAAACAGATTAATATAGATATAGCAGAGGTGCTTGGTCCCTATCAAAGGATTGTGTGATGACGTCAGAGGAGACAAAATGAAGACGTTCGTTGGAGCCTCTCCAAGCTGCATCACATGCACGGAGAACAGAGTTTCTAAAAAATAACTTTGTAAATATGATCCAAAGGGAACGAGAAAGGGGAATCTTGATTAACCCAAACATGAAAGCAGCTATGAAAGTTGTTCTAGTTTCAAGTAGGATAGTTTATAAACGTCTTCCATAAATAAATAACCACTAAGGAAGGAAAGGATCCTCCGTGGAAAGATTAAATGCCTGTTAACTCCACAGAATAAATGAACTGCCTCCATAACAGCCTCGTGATGATTTAAATTATAGTTCCCAATGCAATCCTGTTGGAATGAACGTTTAGTGTCAAGATGAATATAATGATGAACCATAATTACACTAAAGCTTGATTTAGACTTGTCCACAATTGCACACTGGTGTCAACACATACCTAGGCAGCAAAGAGTTTGATGGGTAAGCATAGGTGCAATGGTTGCAGATGGGTCGATGCACATACCTCCCAAATCTCAACTATGTGCTATGTGGAGATATGTATCCTACATGCTTATTGGTGGTTCTGTCTTCCTATTGGAAGGTGGGCAGAAGGCAAGGCACATTCAAACAACGTTAACATTGTATAAATGCAACAGCTATGCAACCGTCTTTGAATGATAGATGCATATGTTCCCTGATTTGCAGTGACACAGAAGTCTAACCCAAGCTTAAAAGAAGGCAGATTTTGCCTATGACAAGGAAAACACAAGGAAGAAGTTGTATCTACAGACATTCAAATTCTCTAAGACACCATTCTGATACTGAGAATGTGAGGAATTTTTATTACTTTTTAATGTTCATTAGCTCTGGCTTGATGTACTAAAACCCCATGCGCAAGAACATTAATCTAAAAAGTGTTAGATTAATATTCAACCCCTTACCACCTTTTTTTTAAAAAATGAAACAAAACATACCTTGTCCTTCTGGAGTTTCACCAAAGGGATTCACCTCCACTTGAGTGGCATCAATTTGTAGGAAAAGATTGTATAACTTCTTTATTTGATCTGCTGCCTGAAGTTGAAAACGTAAGGCATAACAACGTAAACAGAAAATCATAGGAAGGGGGTAAAGAAAAAGAAAATAATCCTACCATATCATTAAACCTATTAGTATTTTGTCCATTGGTAAGAGAGGTTAAAATGTTAACATACTTTTATTAAGTGGAAGTGCTTTATATTGTCTTCAGATTGATGGCTGATGCCTTAGCCTCTTCCTCCCTCAAGTAAAAAAAAAAGACTGCTGGTTCAAAACATTGTCAAATATTGCATAAAGACTCCCTCTTCACAGTGCACTA